ATCGTAAAATGTGTGCATGTGCATGTAGGTGTACGCTCACTGTCCAAACGGTTATATCTCAGAAATAAAAAAAATAAAAAAAATGATTATCAATGCCAGCCTGGAGTGATATCGTGCACCAACGGCCGATACTCGAATCGATTGGCTCGCGCATCAACTTTGCAAATTGAGTCTTTCGTATACGCTGCATCCACAAGCACGGACAATTGCATCCTACGTTACATGTGTATACGCACGAGCTGTGCGCTCGTCCGCCGATGCGGCAGCTGCGCGTCGCACACACGATGCGCTCCGGTTATAAACATGTGTATAGGCACATAGCTATCCCGCGGATGTAATTAAACTCCGTACCACTAGCCGACGGACAATGATACTCGAGCGAGAGACGCTCTCTTGCCTATTAATTAACAGTATCAGCGACAGCGTTCGTTTGTTTGTCTGTGCTATTCCGCACTTTATATAATATAAGAATGTGCTCAACGTGAACGTGTATGTGGGGTAGGTATTATGGTACATACGTGCTGCGAGGAAAAATTAATCATCGCTTATGATACATGAGAGTAATTTGCTGGTGATTTTTTTTGCTTTGCTTTTTATTAAATTCATCGTGCACATAAAAACAGGGGCGTTCGATCGGAATGGTATACAGAGCGAAACACGTGCGTACGAAAAAAAAAAAGAAAAAAAATTAATTGCGCGCATGAAAGAGTCAAGCCCCGTCCCACCCCACTCCATAACAAAGCTTGCAGTTACCTATACACGTTTTGGTTGCTATTGATGCTTGTTGCGTGACCTGGCGTGAATTTCAGGGAAAATTCGGAACATCGATCCTTTTTTTTATGCCTCCTCGCCCATCATTCGCGGAGACCTTTGGTTATTATTTTACCTTCCCCCTGCCAGATGTAATGGACTGACGTTTTTACGTAAACTGTACCAATTTATCTTTTTGAAACATTGGCTGCTAATTGACGTGATTTGTATTTTTTTGTCTCATTTGTTCATAGACTATATACTTACTTAAACACTGTATGTACATATATTATGTATGTATTAGTCTCGTCAGTCACGTATTTGGTACGCTTTTGACTGATTTGGTTTGGGATGATATTTTTGTACTTCGGATTCTCATTGTGTCCCTGTAGTTAAATTTCGTTCAAGTGCACCATCCACTTTATTTTTCGTTTCAATATTTTCTTTCCTTTTTTTCGTTGTGAACTTTCCGTTTTCAAATAGTTACACTTATAGTTCAGTAGTTATTTAGTCATTAATAATTATTATTATTTTTCGAAAATTCACGCGTCGGTTACTTTTCAATAAATGCAAAACTTTGGAATACGATCTCTGTCATGAGGCAATAAAAAAAAGTAAAGGCCCTCACACTCGATTCACCGCACGTCTAAGTTAATTTTCCTAGTACATTCGTTAAATTATAGAATATCTCGATTAGTTTAACATAAAAATTATTAATGAGAATTTTTCATCCAAAAGGATTTTGTTTATTTGCTTCCCATTAAAAATGCGCGGAAATAAATAACGAAGCTTTGATGAAACTTACGATGAAGAGCATCAGGCCGATACCAAAATATTTACTCTGGCCGTTACTTAGCTCAAGATAACCAAGCCACTTAATCGTTCACTGCGGCTCAAGCTGTGAGCCTAAAAAATAACACCGATACACCTCGAAAATCAAATTGGACGTACGGTGTCGCGAGCATATAGGTCCCGTGGGATACTTATGAGGGTATTCGTTTTTTCATTGTAAAATATCTGAAACTATTTCGAAAAGAACCATCATCATTTACTCGTTTTGTTGGTGATCCGTTTGTTTAAAATGTTTACCAGATAAATACATGTAATGATGAAATTTCAAATAATTTAATTAATATTTTTATAAGCGGGAAGTATCTTGTATATTCTCTACTGAGAGAGATTAAGATAATATTGGGAGTACAAAATCTCTTTATCAGAATGAAAACAACAAAGTAAAAACCTATACTGTTGATACAAATATTGATAAAATAGAAAAAAAATCTCATGTTGGAATAAAAAATGAAAAAAAAAAACAGCGTCAAACAAGGGTGGAAGTTTGACAAAGTTATGCCAATAGGTAGGACATGGTGTTTTTTTATTTATTTATTATTATTTTCATGTTCGCTGTTAAGCAGTTGATTAGCCAAAAACTATGGAATAAAATGAAAAGTACGTAACATGAGGAAATAGCAGAGAGTTGGTGGGTATAGCTCCCGGGCACGACAAGAGTGTGCGCTCGGGTGTATGGGATGAGTCGAATAGTACACATGTATACACCTATAGAAGCCAGCAGCAACGATGATACACCGTACATACATGCCATATACAATATAGGCGATAGGAGAGCGAGAGAGGCTCCACACGGCTCAAGGGAGAAAACTCTCCCCTCGGGTGTCAGGCTCTCTCTCGCTCTCTCTCTTTGCTCCTCTTGTGTGATGCGCGCGTGTGGCTCGGGGTTGCCAGGCAACGACACCCTCCGGCCGCGCGCCCATACGCTCACACTCCGATTGGCCCCCGCCCCCTATTCACTTTCTCCCTTTTTCTTTCATTCTTTTCTTCTCTCCTTCTCCCGTCCGTCCATCCATCACGCGCTGCTCTCGCTTGTACGTGTACACGTATATAGGCTGGTATACATATATATATATATATATATATATATATATATATAACCGCCCAAAGAGTACACGAGTGCCAATTCTACTTTTTCTTTTGCTCAACCCTGTCTCTTTCTCTATACGTACGTACGTGCACACGTGTGTGTGTGTGTGTTCCAATCAAGTCGCACATTTGCTGGAAGACTCGAGCAACCCCCTCGGCATTAGATCGGCCACGCAGAGCAGCCATGCCGAGACCCTCTTATTGCACTTTACCGTCGTCCTCGTCGTCTCTGCCAACTCGGCTCTCACCCCCTTTCTTTATTTATCTATTTATTCCTCTCTCTCTCTCTCTCTAGCCCCTTTTTCGTCCTCCCGCCGCTCTATGTGTGATGTCTTGCCTCCTTTTTCTCCTCTTCCCTAGGGTTATACAGGTATATGTATAACCTATACGCAACCAACACAGCCAATATTATTTTTTGTCCGTTTCCGTCGAATTTTCTCCTCTTCGGAGGTGAGCTTATCGATAGCCCTCTCTCTTGCGTCTACTCCCCGATTCTCCCTCGGTCGCCGAGCCAAGTTCGCCCCACCTCCCCCCGGACTTGTAGCTTTCCTTTGAAGCCATGCATATTTCATTTCTCCTCCTCGCAGCTCCGCGTGTCGCCTCTCGACCTCTCCCACCCACCGCGTCCTCCTGAATCCACCTCTTCATCTCTCTCTTTGTCATATATCCTGCCCTGCGAAGCACTTCATGCGTGCAAATCCTCGATGATCCGTAAGTCCACCCCCGCTCTCCCCTTCGAACGTGCATGTAAACGTGGCGCGATCCTCCCTTTCGTCCACCCGTTCTATAGATGTACCCGAGATGGAGGAGAGGTGTAATACACCACGTGATGCTTCGCTTTGAAATTCATGCATCGAAAAGAAGGTTTCTTAAATCGAGAGAATATTTAGTTTAATGACGAGGTTATTAATAGTATTTTTTTCAAACAATATACTTATATACTTATTCACGATGTAAAAAAATTATAGTATCTTGTTTCAAAGAAATATTAATACTTTAAATTATACACTAGTAAATGTTTTCTTGATTCTGAGCAATTTTTTTTTTTTTTTTCCATCGGGGTAAGATTATACGAGGCATTTGAAATAAGTATTTAAGTATTGTTTACCTGATGCTGAAAGCAGATCAATTCGCCAGTCGGTCTGATGCTTCTTCTCCTCTTCCGATCATTGCACTTCTTTCGACTTTTCCTAACAACTCACAACAATAAGTATTCTTTCGACCCTTGCCTCTTAAACTCTTTTTCTCCCTCCACGGTCTTTTTTACCTACACTTAAGATCGATGCACCGTGTCCCCGTAATACTTGGAGTTACACACAGATGACACAATGTACCTATACTTGCAAGGATGATGCGTCCTTTTCACGGGCGGCTTTATCCCATCCGGGCCAAGTGGTGACATTTGACTCGACTAAAAGCGGATCACAGCATCAGCTGTCCGGAGAATGCACCTCCTTGCTCTCTCTCTTTCTCTACCCTAGTGCCGAAGCTTCCTCCAAAAATTAACAAACCACGAGTTTCATGTAGTTTTTTTTTCTTTCATTCGTAAAAGTTCGTACTTTTTCGAGGTCAACTTGCAAAGAGAGAGAGAGAGAAAATAGGTAACGAACGTTGCGGGTAGAGGAGATTGACGCGAGGTAACGTGTGGCTAATATACCTATTGTGTATCGTTTCAATCGTCCCTCTGTGTGCTTTACTGCAGCGTACATATAGGTATACATAATACGAAGCCATTGAGCAAACCACGGGGCGATTAGCCTGCTCTCTTTTTTCAATTCCTCGCTTCTACCCGTCGAGCGTCTTGGGCACGCTGCATCGGCCTCTTTTCTTCCCCCCCCCCCCCCCCGTCATCTTTTTCTCGATCGTTTTGTTCGCCCCGTGACAGCGGCAACAAACTCACAATAGGCCGACGACGTGGAGCTGTTGTTGAGATCAATGTTTTGACGTGACGAGCTGTTTTGGCGCTACTGAGCACACCTCCATCAGTACCTTATATATCTACCCTCGTGCACACAAAACATCAAAATGTGGGTACTTTTTCCCTGCACCCATTACTCGCTTAGAGATTTCTTTTTTTTTTTTTTTTTTTTTTTTCATCCGACTACTTACCTTCCCTTTCTGTCTTAAAAAAGAAACATTTTTTAAATACATTTTTCTTCCTATAAATGAGAATACAGAGCAACCAGTGTTGATACTTGGTGTATGGGTCACTTCCTTTTTTTAAATTTTTTTATTTATTAGAACCTTTGTTCTCGTGTTGGCATGAGAGTGCCAGCAATCAATGAGCTCATGGATTAAAATTTTTGTTGAAGGAGATGCTGACAATTTTAAAGAGGATGTCTTCGACCCTGAAAAGTTTAATGTCAAACAGAAAGACATACCGTGAGTACTACCGCTATCATCGTTATTAATTCGTATGATTGTCGTTGTTTGCGTATCTAGTAATGATTCACTTATTTTACGCGCAGAATCACGCCAAAAATATTTTACGGAACCAGAACGCACAAGCAGATCGAGCAAGTAATCAGAGAGTTGAAAAAAACCGCCTATTCCAACGTTGGGTCGGTATTTCCTGTATAAGTATTTTTATTGCAGAAATAAACAGCAAAAAAATAACTTGCTATTAATTTTCAGAATGACCATCCTAAGTAGTCGGGAGCACACGTGTATCCAGCCGAAGGAGAACGGCGTTAGTTTAACTCAGCTCTGCAATAATTTGCTCGACCCAAAATTGGTAAGCCGTCTATGCGAGGGATTGTACCTGTTCACATCAACATGTGCACGATGTTCTTTCATTTTATTTATTTATTTATTTATTTATTTATTATTTTTTTTTTTTTAGAAAAAGGGTTGTCAGTACTACGGTAGTAAGAACTCAAGGTGGAACGAACTCAATTCGCCCTGGGACATCGAGGACTTGGTAGCTTTCGGCAGAGATGAAGGTTCTTGTCCCTACTTCGCTGCGCGGAGCATGATGGATACGGCGGACATTATTTTCTGCCCGTACAATTACCTGATAGATCCAGTGATCAGAGATACTGTGAGTTTCGACGACTCTTACAAATGGTTGTAAACGTTGTTTAATTTTTTTTTTTCTTTTTCCAGATGCAAATTAAACTGAAGGGTCACATTGTGATAATAGACGAGGCTCACAATATAGAAAATTCATGCAGAGAAGTCGCGAGCACCAGCTTTAGGGAGGATCACCTTGAAGAGGTTTCTGAAGACTGTAAATTTGTATTCAGCGTAACAAAGCACGAGGCTTACCAAGATATCCAATATTATATCGATGCCCTGATCAACGTTATACACAACCAAACACTACCGTCTAATGTAAATATATTGAAAACAGGACTCTAAAGTTATAAGTTTTTGCCATTCGTCATCTAATCTGTTACGAAAAAAATTTTCTTTAGAATTTGCAGCATCCCTTTGATGAGGTTACGAGTAAATGGTTGTGCGGTAGCACAGCCTGGATGCAGCTTAAGGAAATCCATAAATTGGGCCCTCCACGTTATACTCATTTCCATACGGCGTGCCAGTATGCCTTTAAAGCTTACAACGACATGAAAGAGAATGTTCCAGTAGGCAAGGAAAACCAAAAAAAAAAACATTCGTCAACCATCACCTTCGCGTCCAAAAAGCTTCTGGAAGAGCTACTTTTATCGCTCGAAGCTATCCAGAATGCGACTTATCAAAATGACTTTCGTGTCGTGACGGCTTTGTCATACCACAAAGATGCTAAAACTAAGGTAAACATATTTAGCTGCCGCGTCTGTTTGTATTTCTTGTATTTCTAACTAAAAGTTAACAAAAACTTTATCACATTTAGACCAAGGAGAACGAGTGGATTCAGACTAAGAATAGAAAACCAGTAGCTCTTCGTACGCTGAAATTTGAATGTATGAACTCTGCGATGATTTTTCGGCAACTTTCAAGGTCCTGTCGAAGCATGATCCTCGCCTCGGGTACACTGACGCCCACTTCGACTTTTGAGAGTGAGCTAGGAACTAAATTCACATTTAAGCTGCATGCCAACCACGTCATAAATCCCCAGCAAGTATACGCGCGCGTTGTACCTCGAGGTCCTACGGGTCATCCCCTCAAAGCGATTTACTCGGAGATACAGACTCTGCCCTTCAAGGTATGCTTTTTTTTTATTTCATCAACTTTTTTTCCGTAAATTATAAATACATGGCGTTTTCTGTTGGTAGGATGAATTGGGACGTCTTTTAATTGACGTGTGTCAATCAGTACCACACGGGGTGCTATGCTTTTTTTCTTCATACAATGTTTTGAACGAAATGCTAGAGCGCTGGAAAAGTACGGATGTGTATGACAACCTAGAAATGGTCAAGCGAATTATTTTAGAGCCGCGTTTTAGCACCAACTATGATCAAGTTATGGACGAATTTCGCAGTGTCATTCTGGAAACGAGCGATGGACCCGTACATGGTGTGACCGGTGCTCTGTTGCTTGGCGTTTTTCGTGGAAAAATGGCAGAAGGAATAGACTTCAGTGATAACGAGGCTCGCTGTGTGGTAACAGTAAGTTGAAAAAAAAAAAAATGTTGTAACTCATTTGTAGTCCGTGCTATTCTTGTAACTACATCAATGTATATTTTCTGTTCATAGGTGGGCATTCCATATCCTAATACTTTTGATGCCAAAATCAAAATGAAGCGGGAGTACAATGATCAGCATCATCAAGATATAGGTTTAATGAAAGGAAGCAAGTGGTACGATGTACAAGCTTACCGTGCCTTAAACCAAGCCTTAGGACGATGCATAAGGCACAAAAACGACTGGGGAGCAGTTTTGCTTGTAGATGCTAGGTTTGTCCATTACTCAATATTTTGAAATTATTTTATAAGCAACAATGTTCTCTACAAGCCGTATGTTTCTACTTTAGGTTAAACGAATCCTCAGAGTATCTTCCAAAATGGATACGTGAAACAGTAAGTTATATTTTATCAATTCTCGTTGAAAAATATAAAATTTATATAAAATATTAACTTTTTCGTTTGTTATTACAGATGAAAAATCAGAAAAACTACGATCCTAATGATCTTAAAAAATTTGTTCAAAACCGAAAGCAACATGATAGACAGACAACTCTGAGAGTAAGCTCAAGCTAATTTATGCGAGGTAGTAAATTAAAATATAGTTTATTATACGATCATGCATAAGCAGATTTAGCCAGTTAGATTTAATACTGCTCTGTGTATATTTGACCGTATATAAGTCGGAATGTGCCTTTGGATGTTAATAGGATAGAATGTCTCTCAGTGTAAATGATGCATAAAGCATTTAAGTAGTTGACTAAAATTTTTTGTATGTTGAGTGTCTTTAAAATAATATGTTTTTATAATTTAACGGTAGTATATCAATCTTGTTTTACATCAATAAAACTATTTTTATTACGAAAAACCTGTACAAAAATTATCATTATTCAAAATCATAATCATGTCTTTATAGTGTCACGCTTTTCAATCATTCGTAGTTGTTTTTTCTTCATTCTTTTTATCTTGGCTGGATTTTTAATCTAAAAAAAAGCATTTTTTTATATTACACTAATAATGAAAATTATTACATGGTTTCATAAAACCTGTAGAATGTATACTCACCACTTGTACGATTTCGCTCTTTTTTTGATTTTCCTCCTGCCTCTTCAGATTCTGCTTTCTTCTTTCTTTTTTTGCTTGTTTTTCAGCTTCTTTTTGCGCTTTTATTTCCCTTGACAGTTCCTTGGCTCTTTTTAAATCTTCTCTTAATTTTTGTTTTTTCTCGAGGGACAATTGAAGGCCCTTGGTTTTAATTATTGATTTAAACCTATCAACCAATACTTTAGTCAATGAAAATTAAAAATACTTGTGAAATTAAAAGAAAGGGCCTTACCTCTGTTTAGGTTCTTTCCATACTCGACCAGACTTTGGTTTACCTCTGGGAATCACTTTACTTGGCTTTGGTTTTCCATGTGTTTTGTTCTTGATGTCATCTGCTGATGTAGACTTTTTATTTAAATCAGAACCACTAATCATATTCTGTGAAGCAGTGCAAACTGCTAACAAATCTTCGGCATTTATTGTTTTTTCTTGTGTCTCCACCATTTTGACATGAATAAAACCCTGCACTCCAGATATTTATGGCAAGACTAACCGTTGAGGTTAGAAAAACAACGTGACAATTTGTTTATATTTCGTCTGCATTCGACTGATGTGTTATATATATATCGACAAAAAGCCCCGACTGAAGGTAAATTACTCGGTACGATCGGAGTGCTGAGCAGTGAGCAGAGTTACCGATTATCGATAAGGCCGATGTCGGCTGTTTCCACAACTGTTACTCCGCGCACTGCAGGATTTGATTTAGAAAAATGAAAACGCGTGGTTCAATAGGTACTATTATAGTTTGGTTCATTTTTGTGTTTATAGAAGGTTCTTTATTATCATGCCTTAATTGTTGAGATATTTTTATTAGTAGTTATGGAGTCTCTAAAAGAGATCAGTCCCTTTTTAGACCCAACATCCAGATTAGATTTAAAAGCAGTAGCTCTTGAACACGTGTTAGGTAAGATTGTTCATAAATTTCTTGTTTAACACTAAAAAAGATTTTCACGTCTTGATGAAACGATTATTTACTAGGTGTAACTGGCACACCGGAGGGTAGACAGCTGTTGTTAGGAATCCCGGAAATCGTAAGACAGTTGATATTACTATTGCAAGACGAGTCCTTTGCGATAGCAAAAGATGCTTCTTTAGCTTTGATAAACATTTCTGGCGATGAGGAGGGGGCTAGTGCTTTGCTAATTATTTCTGAAGTCTCCAAGTGCTCATCTGATAAAAAGACTGATAATTTAATCTTATTATGTTTCAAGTAAGTAATTTATATTTGTATTCAGTAGCTATGAATTTTCTTTATTCCAATTCAAACCATGAATAATCATACAAGTGGATTTTTTTAGATACATAACAGACAAGGGAAGCAAATTAGCTGATCCTTGCTGCATGATTTTGTCGAACATGACGCGTCCCAAAATTTTTGTTGATAGGATAATCATATTAGTAGAGAAATTAGAGTTAAGCTGGAACGATCTTTTGAATGCACTAACAAAAAACAATTACAATTCTGTTGGAGCCAAATTGCACTATTTGGGACCAATTTTTAGCAACATCACTCAATCAAGAAGAATGAGAGAGTATGATTTTTACTGCTTATATTTTAGTCTTATATTACTTTGATTATTCGGCTACTGTAACTATAAAATACAATTTTTTTAGCTTTTTATTGAACAAAGATCAAAAAATAATTCAACGATTACTACCTTTTGTAGAATATAAGGATAGCATAGTGAGAAGAGGTGGTGTTGTTGGGACTTTGAGGAACTGTTGTTTTGAGGAAGATAATCATGAGTGGCTCCTGAGTCCAGACGTTGACATCTTAACGTATTTATTATTACCTCTGGCTGGACCAGAGGAATTCACAGACGAGGAAAATAACAAGTTACCGATTGATTTACAATATTTACCAGAAACTAAAGAAAGAGAAAGAGACCCTGACATTAGGTAAAAAAAAATTTCGAGCTATTTTTTACAAGATATCGTATTATAATATGCATACTTATCGAATTAATGAAATGTATTTTCAGAACTATGCTTTTAGAAGCTTTAGCACAGTTGTGCGCTACAAAAAGTGGCCGAGAATTAATGAGAGAAAATAATGCATACATAATTCTCAGAGAGTTGCACAAATGTGAACGAGATAAGGCGATACTTCTGGCGTGCGAAAATGTTGTGGATATTTTAATCAAGTAAGGAGAAATTTGTCATAACAAGTTCACGTTATTTTTTAACGTTTATTTTTACACTTGTTTATTACCACAGGACCGAGGAAGAAATAGGATTGGACAATTTGAAAAAAGTTGAAGTTCCAGAAGAATACAAAGAGAAATTTCTGCAAATGGATCGGTTATACTTGGAGGATGAGGAAGGTGCAAGAGAGCAGGAAGATAACGAGAAGAAAGCTGTTAAAGTAGATAAGTAATAAAAAGATTTTACATGGAGCTTAATAAACTTTTGATAATTTTACACGTGTTTCTAAAAATTGTTTCATTTTATATAACGTGTCTGGATTATAAATTGACGATTTTCACGGACAATACCCACATCAGTACAAGTTTAACAGCTGGATTCAAATGAAAAACTAAAAGCGATATCATTATAGCGTCTTATAAATACTTGGTAGCAAATGGAATATAAAATTTTCAATATAAATCCATAAATATGTACAAAGTAGAGCCTTCATTGAGCCGGGCATCAAGGCAAGTACCCCAAGCCGGCCTCGAGGCTAACCGAACTCCTGAGGCTCGAAGCGCTGCTAGTTTTCCTGCCAAGCCTGGCGAGAGGCCCTGCTCCGAACACCGCCGCTATCTCGGCGCTCTTCTTGATCGAGAGGGCCTCGTGGTGCCCAGCCGCTGCAGCCGAACCGCGCCTGTGCCTCCCAGCCTGCCCATGGCGCGACGAGCGCTTACCATCCCTAATGCCGGGGCGCTCCGTGCCACCCACGTAGATCAGCCGACCCTGGGGATCGCGGGCACTGACCACCAGCACCTTTTCGCTTCCGGACGAGCACTGCGAGGATCGCCGGGCGCCAGGCCGGAAGAGGTCGTAGTCAAGCGCCAAGTTATCCGCGCTGCCCCGTGGCGAGTGCACCTGTCGTCACGAAAGAACCTCTGTACGTGGAAAGTATACGTCGCGCTTACGTTTATCGTACCTTGAGGTACTCGAGGCTCTTGGAGGTGGCGAGGTGGCTCCTGCTGGCCCGGGCACTGCGTCGCGACCTGTCGGGGCTGTCGTCCCGGCTGAGGGTGCTCTCGGAGGGCACGATGCCCTTCTGGCGCAGCTGCTCGAGGATGCTGGGCTGCTGCGCGTTGGGCTTGCGCGCGCAGTAACACTTGTTGCTCTCGGAGCAGCTGTCGGTGTCGCAGGAGCAGACGATGAGCGCCGGGGCCTCCGGCTGGGCCGGTCTGCGGGATAACGAGCAGTAGCACTTGTCAGCCGAGATGCACGTGCAAGATTCCGAGTCGTAGCTGCACTCGCTGCAACTGACGTAGCCGCTGCTGCTGCGGTTCGCAGCTACGACCAGGCCCCGCTCAGCCCGCCTGCCTGCACAGCATCAACAACCGATCCATCATTCGTCATGCGCGCCCAAGGCGAGATAAAAAAAAAAAAAAAAATTGCAGAGATATACCACCACACAATAGGTGTATTATGATGTCTGTAAAAAACGTACAGGTGTCGCTGTCCTCGGAGGTGGTCTGGCCGAGCCTGCTCTTGGCCGGGTCGTGTTTCCCAGTCGGCACGGGAGTAGCACCGACCCTCACCACGTCGCAGGACGATGAGCTGCCGAAGCTGCTGCGCTCGTTGAGCTTGCGAGCTGGAAATATGACGGAGTGGAACTCGGTGGGGCCACTGCTGCCGCTGCGAAGCCGCGACACCGAGCGCTTGATCGCCCTGCGGAGGAGGCCACGGCTGGACCTGCGCCTCTGAGGCCGACGCCGGCGGCGCATTATGCTCGCCGAGCGCTGGTAGAGCTCGTCCTGGGTCAGGGTTGCCGCTAGTTTCAGAAGGAACTCCTTGTAGAGGGGCTTCAGCTCGTTGAACGACATGCCCTCGGGATCTGCGAGGTCGTCAATTCGTGTGAGTGTGGAAAATGCGAGGAAAGCAAGATCCACGTACCTATGATGGCAGCCAGGATGTCGTCGACGCTCGTGAGGCCTTCTTGGTTGCGAAACTCGTCGAAGAGCTCGGTAAAGCCGAGCGGGGTGCCGGCCCCTCCGCCCTCGGAGCCCTCCCTCTTGCGCACGCTGCCCGGCTTGTTGAGGAAGCTACTCCGCCTGGGCAACTCGACCCTCGTGAGTAGATCCCCCCTGTCCAGATCCACGTCGCTTTGCGAGCGCTTGAGCGCTGCCGCTGTCGCCGCCGCAGCCGCCGCTGCCTCGGTTCTCGTGGTCGGAGGCTCGCTGCCGGCCCTGCTACGGCGCCTCGACGTTACCTGCTGTTGGCGCAACGGCCGATCCATCGTGTCGACGCGCGTCAACCTACGGGTTGAGCGCTCCGATGGCTGATGCCCGGATGCTCTGGACACTTGCCTGCTACTGGAATCACAAACGTTAGCACAGGATGACTGGTGCTCTGTAGTGCACGTAGTCGAGGCTCACCTGCCGTAGGGCGGGTCGAGGTTCCGGATTTCGTCGACGTCGCGAAAGTGCTCGCGGTACCGAGCCGAGCCACCGGCCAGGCCCCGACGTCTCTGTTCCGCGTGGACGGGCTCGTTGGTCCGGCGCTGCGCCCTTCCGGAGGAGGAGCCCGTCGTCGTGGAGCTGCTCGGCGCTCGACTGCTTCCCTCGCAGGACCTCCTATCGCCCTCAACCTGTGCACGATTTGGGTTTATGGCGTTACATAAGACGTATACGCACGTATATTATCTTCTTGTACCTTCTGGCCGATTGAGCAAGCCTTGGCGTAGATGCGGCTGCTCTCGTAGAGCGAGTTCTCGGTGCAGCACTCAAAGTCGTAGGAGCCGCTCGAGGACTTGTCGTTGCCCGCCCGGGACTGCCGGCCGTCGTAGATGCTCTCGATCACCTGGAGCCCACCCGAGACCGCCTCCTGGCAGCTGCTGCCGCTTGACCCGTACACCCGGTTTTTCGCGTTCATTCGCTTTTCCACGCTAGCCTGCTGTGGGACACGGAGCGAAGGGTCAAGTGGACGACACTCGGGTAGTGTACAACGTACAAGCCGCGCACCCACCTCTAGACGCGAGGACCCGGAACTCGAGCGGTTGTCCGGTCCCGCGCCGGCAAACACCCCGGGATCGCCGGGGCAGAGCCGCCGACCGCGAGCCTCGAGGACGTCCTCCTCGTCCAGCGCGTCCGAGCCCTTTTTCTTCTTCTTGCGCTGCGCCAGCTTGTCCGCGCTGATCATCGCGCGGATGGACGAGCAGCTCCGGTTGTCCTCGGTGTTGGCGATGCTGCCGCTGCTCGCCGAGCCGATCTTCTTCAGCCGGGGTGGTCTCACCTGTCGATTCGCACGCACACACACCATTGGTCCCCCGTGGAAAATAAAAAAGGAGGGAGGGAAACACGATGGGGTTAACTCACCGGCGGGAGGGGGGGCAGGGATTCGTTCTCCTCGAAGCAGCACCGGCTGCCGGTGGGACTCAGTTCCCTGGTGATGGCGCTGGAGACGACCGAGGCGAGGCTGGCGCAGCCCAGCCCGTTGCGCTGCAGCCTGGGCCTCCTGGCGGTGGCGTCGAGGTCGGCGAGTAGAGCCCGGTACAGGGTGGCCGCCGCGGCGATCGCGTCCTCGTCGCAGCGGCAGGCGAACGCGTGGCACTCGAGTAGCCGGGCGGCGCCCGGCCGGCGCATGACCACCGCAAAGATCGGCGGGTAGTCGTCGGTGTCCCTGGGGATGCCTCGCATCGAGCGGAAGAGCTCGGCGTGCCGGTCCTCGCTGTTGCCCGGATCGTAGGCCCGATCGTCCGCGACCAGCGGCACGAACGCGTGCACCACGTCCTGCTGTGCATCAGAAGCTTATATATAGAGCTGATATATACCATAGGGTGGGTATGAACTCGCGAGAAAAATTTGTGAAAAGTGCGCTTTTCACCAGAGCGTTTTCTCAAAACATTTCTCTAATTCTCGTTGGTCGTTGAGAAAACCGTTTGCTTTACCGATGCACAGCTTCTTTGCGAGGAAACGAAAGAACAAAAATAGAAATGTTCAAGAGCCAGCACTTTGGCCCACAAAATATAAATACTAAATGTAACGATTTATAAATAATATAAAAAAAGGGGAAAAAAAAACTTGATTCTCTAGCTTTTTTGCTCCGATGAAAGTGTGCAGCGCACCGTCCTGGCTAAAAAAAAAAAAAAAAAAAAAAAAAACATGATTGTTATAGTTACAGGGTCGGAGCCGTGGCGTCTCCGGGCCTGGAGCTTGAGGGCACTCCAGACGGCGATGCGCCGAAACGGATTGTTCTTCTCGTGGAGCTCGCTCGTGCGGTAGGTGAGTCCGCGCCGGGAGACCTCGAGCTCCGCGCCTACCGCATCCTGGATGTGCTCCAAGAGCTGACGCAGCGGCTCCTGGAGTCCGCGCACGGATGCCACGCGACCGCCTACGGGCGCCGCGCCCAAGTACTTTACCTGTGCATTACATCCGGAGGACCATTTTATCGAATATTTTCATAATTTTTTGATACAATTATTCATCTTGAATTTTCAATCGAGTGTATGAAGCTGTCCGCGTGTACTTATGAGTGTAGCGCGTAAGCATCAGGGAAAGTCGATGGGTAAAATGAAAATATCATTAGAAACGGAACGGAAGGCGTGTGTGTACGCACACACGCATGGAAAATAAGTTAGCTAAGCTTAAAATAAGGTCGTCGATGACAATTGATTTGGAAAATGCATCGAATACCATATACGATTATATCTTTGCACCTGATAATCATCTTTTACAACGTTTCGTTTCGCTGATTGCTGCAGCGGAACATGTTCTCCGCGCGTATACATCGAGCTGACGAGCATTTAAATTTCTGGAGCTGTTTTTTTTTTTTTTTACATTTGCAGATTTCGAATCGAGGATTAGATTCAAATTAATTTTACAGCTACTTGGATGAGCTCTCGCAAATTACTGAGAAAAGAAAAACAATACCCAAGATGTATTATTCTTTGTCGAATTCATATATGAAGTATATATATATAGTCAACTAATTAAGGTGGAGGTGGATTTGTTTTGTTTATTCATACCCAAAGAATCAATATTTGCAGTGGCAGCACGAATCACCACAAATTACTGGGGTACGATGCGCGAAGAGATAAGATAAAAGCCAGCAACACACGCTCGAGGTGCGCGTGCCGCGAGACTTTCCATTATACACAAATGTATACAACACCGAGGCCGATCGGCTAATTACACATATCTACTCTTGATTTCGATTATAAGAATAAAGAAAAAAAAGAAACACAGATGAACTTACCGGTCACGTACATCGCAAATGCCAATGTATGTATACATGTGTAGCGTATAATACGTGAGAAAAACCTCGAGTTTGGTGTTTACATATACATATGCATACGTAGGAAGTCAAGCGGGATGGTCACCCTTGATCTTCCTACACTATAGATTGCAGTTATGTTCTTTATATGGGTATAGGTATAAGCTGCGCGCGTGCCAGCTGTCACGATAATATATGTATGTATAATATTAGACTGAATGACGGTGCACGAATAAGATTGACAAATAACAGGGTACTTTTGTTATTAATTCAATAGGAGAAAATAATATAAAAGCCACGCTCCATCAACAATCCTCTCCTCTAATCTGTATTGCCTATAATATAATATGTACATGTGACTGAAATCATTCGTATACAGCTTTGGTGTATTATGTGTGGGCGTATTTATTGTCTTCCACGGTATGGACGTACGCAATAGTTGAAAAACTCCAACTCACCGGCAGAAGGGCAGCCGCGCACTCGCCTGGTGCCGCGCTCTCGGCCTCGACTGACGCGAACATGGCCTCGATGCGCGCCTGAACGGCGCTGTTGACCCTCCGCTGTTGGTCGTCGTCCGGCGAGCCGCAGCACACCCCGAGGGCACCCGTCTCGACCATCGCGCCCTGCACCGCGGTCCAACTGCTCGAGCATACGGAGCGCGAGTCCCCGAAGAGGGCGTCGATGCGCGCCTTGCTGTTGCTGCGTAGGGAGCACTCCGAGGCCGTCGCCAGCCGGAACCCGGCCCCGTAATTCTCGCAACACGACATCCTTCCTGGTGCTCGAGCGATCGATCGACGCTAAGTGGACCGTACCGCGATGTAGCTCAAGACTCGACGGTCACCTTCCTGATATTGTCCCTGTACACCAACGAGCATTTATTAAAAAAGGTTTTTTTTTTTCCGCAAAGGGACGATTTATCGGGCGAAATGGACACTGCTTTCTAAAAACGCTGCAGTACAGCCGATCCGTTGCGTTTTTTTCAAAGATCTCTCTTGCCTTTTTTTTTTCAAGCTTATCTCCTGCACGCACGCTGGTTTCAATGGCCACGCGTGCTCGATTTAATATTTGCAAACTCTTGCGCTTTGATTTACGGCTGGCTCTCGAGTTTTCTCCCACTGAATGAACACGACATATTTCATTTGTACCTTTGTTGCAAAATTGTTGGGAGTTTTGTCGATAATCTTTATACGCTTACTATTCGTTTTTTTTTTTTTTTCTTGAAAAATGGAAATACACGGTTCCATCGGAAGCATGTAATCCGACACTTTGCGTGTAAGCAAAATAAGGGCTTCTATTTGGTAAAACGATGCGACCCCATGCATGGGTCATAGAAACTATTAAAGTGTGTACCAATGGGCTTCATTGCATCCTTATATTTTTCACGCATACCAAGACAGTATACATATATAAAGACTTGTTTCGAGGTTTCAGCCGAACGATTTTTAATGCAGGTTTTCGGTACCGTTGGCGATAAAAAGAAGTTGCGAGAGGAATACCCGAGCCCCTATAAAATCTTACTCCCAAGAATCGGACTGGAATCTGACGGCGTAATGAAAAAAAAAAAAAAGTGCGAGAAGTGTAACGAGCGACTGCGCCCGAAAATCCGAAAATAAAATGAAACCGGACCCCGGCGTTATTACATTTTCTTCGAATGAAAAATAAAAAGCAAATGAACGGCCGCGTTATCTGGCGTAAAAAAAAGGGTGCCAAAACGCTACTGCACTCGAACGGTACATATATACTGTAAATGTTACAGGAGCAGCAGCGGAAACAGAGTCGTAAAGGCGACTTAATTAAAGAAGCCGGGATCGTCATCATCATTATCACCACGTAAAAGTCGCCGCCACCTTATATGTATGTACAACGTTAGATTGCACATGTGCCGCGGCACGCGTGAGCGAATGAGCGACAGTTATATAGGTATTATACATTACTCGGAAGTTGTACATATATCCGTGTAGGGATTACATATACGTATAGGTACGTGAGAGATTATGTTGCGCGAGGGAGGGGGGGGGGTTGGGGATAGCACTGATAATATAGGTGCTCGTAATGGAGCATCATCGGGAGGCAGAGGGATTCACCACACATACCAGACAGACCTGATCTCATCAAGCAAGCGCGCAAATCAATTTTAAGACGCGATCCTACTGACGCGGCCGTTCGAGCGCTACCGTATATGTATATAGGGATGCATATCACCAGCTACGTCTGCTCTTATGCCTCATTACACGTTCTACAGTAATGATTTTATCATCACGGAAATCGTAGGTAAGTATATTACAACTCCCATAGAGCCGGCCCGCCAACAGTATATTATATTATATTATCTCACTACCTTATTGCGTGTCACGTAACTCTCGCGTTTTTTACGCAATGCCACTTTGAGGCTTACGTTATCTCCATGGTATAATATTGTAAACGTCCCATGATATTGCTATACACCTACTGCCTCTCGCGCATATATATATATATATGATATTATTAATGCATATAAATATACCGATGAACATTGATTGTGCATACATTATGTTGTATGTTTGCGTATTAGGAAGGAAAGGAGGACGTGGTGTGTAGCACGTATGGATTGATCTATCGAACGCGTAGCGCGCGTGCACTTGTGGTGCCTCCGATGTATGTGTATATACTCGCATAAACAGCGGGGGCACGGGGGCGTATCGGGCGCAGCGGGATGTGCCGGTGCATGAAAATCGTAACACACACACGAGGGGGGAAAGGGAGCTATACATACGTGGATGGGTGGAGGATGTATATCTGCAATGTACACGGTCGATGAGCGTCCGCGAGAGGATTTTCTAAAACCTGATCCGCGGCCTTGATTTTTACGCGTCCGCGTAAAGGAAAGTTGTAGACTTTTTCCAATTAAAAGCCCCCCACCCCCTTACGGATGCACGTGTGGGCACCTGGAGGCCTAATGTATACATCTGGGTCTCGAGTAACCATATAGTCACGGCTCTTTGTATACACGCGCGCATAAACCCAACATATCACGCGCTCGTCCGTCTCGATTTAAAAAAAAAAGATTTCATTTAACGCAGCTCTCTCGCGCGAATAATCAACGTACGTGTATCCACTTCTTGGCTTTTATAGAAATCCTGCATTGTATGGGTACTTACGCATGCAACTCAAGCCCAATGACTGACGTAAAATTATACACCGCGGCTCTGTTTGCTCTAATGGTACGATCTCGTATGAGCGCGTATATTTTACATGCACAATTTGGTTCATCTGGTTTTAATTGGTATACGCGAATCGACCCGATCGTATCGGGTATACATTCATACACATTACAGTACCACGGGACGGTTGAATCGATGCTGGTGAAAAGATCGTGCTCATCCGTACATGGACAATTTATAAGTGTACGTGGTGTATTTGAAATATTTGACGGGGGGGGGGGGTGTTACTTCAGTAAAGGTACCCCGGTCCTCGTCCACGTGTAGGTGTGTAGATATAGTTTGCGCACCTTCACGCTTCCGGGACCACCGCGTATATACATATGTGCAAACTTGTATGTATGTAAGGCGAAAGGCACTTACTCGATTCGGAGTCCGTGACGGCTGGGATTATTTTCTTACAGTGCCTCGGCGGGTGGTACACTTGAAACGATGAATCCTCCACCTCCTCTTGTTCCTCGATCAGGCCCGGAGAGCTGAAATCCAACATCTCCCGAAGGCTCGTCCGCGGATGAATTAGCGCGCTGCATCACCGGGTGTGCGTATGATAAGCGTCGAGTGCAGGGAAACGAAAGAAAAAAAAAAAGGAAAAGGAGACACAGCACACGGAGAAACTTGTTAATCGACTTTCTTTCGCGCTTCCTGTCGCCCCATCCTCTTTTCCGATCCGCGGACAAGGTAGAAATCATCGATCTCCCTCTGCATCGTGCAACCTCCTTCTCGAGCTCCCCTTTCCAACGCGAGCTCTGTCTCCTCGTCGCGATGACGGAATCCTTTAGAAAAAAAAAAACTCCGGTCTCCTCTGCCTCGCGAAGTTATATACGAGTCCACGGACACCGCCGCTCTATGTGGCTCTCTACAGTGCAGGGCCGCGCGCGTCTGGCGAGTCGGCTCCCGGGGAAGATGAGCAGCCAGAGAAGCGGGAGCGCATCTGCCGCCGTGAGTACTTGGCGCTTCCGACTCGCGCTTAACGGTATCGCGCCGTGCACCACTGTGGATGTGTGATGGTATAGGTACTTTGGTGTGCGGGTATATATGTATATATANTTTTACCAATTTCGAGTCGTATTGTTACAATTAACCCGAAACGACAACAATGTGCGTTGCGCGTGCATACAAGTACATGTAAATATAAATAAGGGATATATAAACACTGTTACGCTCGTGCACCACCGGTGTGCGCGTCTCGTCTACTTCCACTCCGGCTGTGCCTACTCCGAGGTGATGGGTATCTCCTTCTTTCCCCGCACTCGGGCTTTTTTTTCCAACGAGCATCGTCGTCCCGCGCATGCAGACGGTCCACAGCGCGAGTGGGAGGCTCCGAGAGGATTGGGCGGCCGATTTCGATTTTAACGCTCGAGAGGGAAACGCGCTCGCGTTGGGGGGAGATACAGACCGAACCATCATGATACGGAGCTTACGATAAAGATGCAAGCTCGTCGAGGATAGGGGCTCATATGTGGACATTTTCAATCAACAAACGTAGATTTATGCATCGAAAATTACCGTTTACAGAGAAGAGATACAAATAAATCGGCGGTATGTTTGAACTATTACTGAGAGGAGACTCACAAGCTTACATTTTTTTTTTATGTATTAATAGAGCTTGCTGTCGTGGTTTGACGCTATTTAGGGGATATATCGAAATACAAAGTCAAGGGTGTAGGTACTTTACAAGTTGGAGGTAATAATATTTTATGAAATTTTCTATATTTTAATCGTGTAATCGTGAGAAATTCTTTTTAAAACAATTATTTAGTGCCTTAGAAGTTGGATTAAATAATTTTTTACCATGAAAGTGCATGAAAAAGAATCAAAAATATGTAATAATTAAATTTTTTTTTTTTTTTTTAATGAAGCAAGAAAAGAAACCCAAGTTCACTGTATTCCTGAACACGAATTAAATTAATTTTAAACATTTTAAAAATTCTAGACAAGCTATATTTCTACATCGAATATATAATATCTCAACGGTCAATTTTTATTTTAAAAAATCATAAAAATCGAAACCCATATTATTACAATAGTCTTCTTACAAAGGTAAATTTGGTATAAGCTGAGTGGTAGATCAACTTACTGATTGAATTACTCGAAATGATCGTCTCTCGAAATCCAATTGGCTCGCGGACGCAGCAATCCGGTGCTGCTCAAGGCAAATGAGGATGCGCTCGCTCGCAAGTATGCAATTCACGCCTCATATATTTATGTATATCCATGAGTGTGTGTGTGTGTACAACATACACAAAGGCGTTACCGTAAATTTCCAAAGTAGGTGACTCAAAACTCGAATTTGTATAATTGCGCGGAAACAGTTAAGTCACACACATACACTGGAGCAAAGAGAGAAAAGAGACTCGGACTGGTTTATTTAGGCTCCGGTAAGTATATATATATATATATATACACCGCTGCTACTTACAGGTGCTTCAAAGTGAAAAGGGAATAACGTCAACCCGGACAACAGTCACCTGTGCGAATTATCATAGCGGATTGGCTCCGACCAAAATAAACTCTCGCGTGTCCACCGATGGTAAAACGAAAATGACACCATAAACTTTATACGTGCTTGTTGTCATTATCATTATTATTGTTGAGCGGTCGACCAACACTCGAGCGCTCGCAGAGTAAACCTCCTCGAGTGTATGTACACCTACATTTATCCCAATTGCGGGTCAAGGCAAGGCGGGGGCGTGGATCGACCGCCACTCGAGGGGGCTTATAATTAACGGCCCAACCGGGAAATCTCCGGGCGGGCCGTGTTGCTTACCCATGAACACACAGGGCGTGCCCTGATCTCTTGGGAAACAATAATAATGATAATCAGGGCGATGACGCTCGTGCGTGGTACAATACCTATACCAACCTCCAATGCAAACGGCCAGCAGCAGGAATGCCGGATGACGTGTGCGGAGCGCGCGAGATGAAGTCTTATCTGGGACCTATATGTAATGATAGAGGAGAGTACGTATGGTAGCCCCTTTTTGCATCCGCGTGTACGTATATGCCATGTTAAGGTGCACGGGCACTTGCGCTATGCACAATGAACAATGGGACCATTTCAGCCATTTACCGGGAACGCCGGCGGCGCGTTGGAAATTCCGAAACGCCCCTCTCCTCGCTCGCGGTCGTACTTGTATTCGCGTTGCATAACAACAACGAAAATCGAGCAGATCGGAGCAAACGATTTCTTCGATCATATAAAGTTAATGTTTTGTCGCGACCTCGAAAAAAGCTTACTTGGATAAATTTACTCTCGTGTGCAGATATTTTTTTACACTCGCCTGCACGTCTCGCGTACTTGAAAAAAGTTAAGCTAGCGGAAAAAGCAGTAAAGCAAAATAGGTGCATGGATATGGCCCCTTTGGCACCTGTCGAGCGGCTCTATGTATATATATATATATGTATATATGCTACTGCGGGTTAACGATCTCGTTTACTAAAACCTCAAGAAATCGCGAAATACGACTTTTTGAACAAAAGCGTACCTACTTTACTGCTGCGTATATATGTATATCGTGTGTGTCTAGGTACTCGGAACAAACTCTGTAAAATGGCACAACGGACGCGACGACAGGACGACAAGTTACGACCCATCGAATACATCGGCGTTATACTCACTTTAGAGTCTTTTTCCAAAAACTAATCCACGAAATTTAGACAACTTTTTTCCCGCTTTGGCGATTGTTCGCGCAAATAAATCACCTAAACCGTAGCAGGCGCATAGTACCAGGTGCCGATATACCGTTGAAAATCCATCGAGGCCGCTGTTGCAGCGTCTCAAAGTTCATTGTCCCTCTCCCGGCTACGGAAATCTCCGTTTTCGCAATCACGTGTCCGAGCATGCGTAAGTACGTAGGTATATGTTCACGCAGGTTGCAGTGAGACGCGATTATTACGACAACAGCTGTTGTGCGTTACCTGCCTGCGAGCTACGACCCTATATAGTTTTAGCGGCTATTTGCCGAAGATGCCGGAAGAGGAGACTTTTTAGCACCTGTTGCTTACCTCCGTACTCGCGGCTCCCCGAGATTGAAACGCTCGACCGTGGCTGTCGTTAACGTCTTCATGACCGTCTGATAATTATTTTCTCGAACCTCCGCTGAGAGCTTTGTTCATCGCGGCTGGGTATATTATTTGTCGATCGAGCCCCCGACAGGTGGGTCTGGAACAATTGTTGCATAACGTGGAACTTTCCCGATGCGTATACGCGTTGCGAACGTTGTCTATAGATTGAAATCGATCGGGTGATTATCTTTCCTTCTTCTTCCCGGTGACGGTACGTTGCACGTGCAGTTTGGCCACCCGCGATGGGATTATCGGGGATGAAGTCATGATCGTAATGTGATCGATAACATCTAATCAATCACGAGCGATTCGATTCGAGTGAGTTTTAACATCCAGTTCCTAATAACGATTTTTTGCGAGTAAACAAGATCGGCGCTGAAGATAAAATTATCGTCTTGATATCGTCGAGGATTTTTCAATCTTACCAATTACCGTCATAATTGTTGCGTTATATTTTGAAACTTGAACTGAATGTACCTGTGTGCAGCAGTACCGATGCACACGTTGCAACTGTGGAAAAAAAAAGAGACTTCCCCCGTTGTTTATTCGATTGCTTATCGATTCTCGGCAAAGCTCGGCGTTTTATCCAAAGGTGACGCCAAGATAGTCGATATGTATAAAAGCTCGAGTGCATCTAAGAACTCGTCAGACGCAATCAAATCTGAGTTGGAGCATCAGCGAGCAACGATCATTATTATTTATTTATTTTTTGACGACGCGACATTTTTAATACCTCTCTTGGTGGATTCGTTCGAAGTTTAGTTAATCTTCGTTTCCAACCATGGGAATGTCAAAGATTTTGCTGTTCGCGTGTTTCGCCGTTGTTGGCTTTTCGTCGTCCTTGGCTGACTTATTCGAGCCATCCTGCACCCCTCCGGGTGCCCTTGTAAGTCCAACTTTTTTCTACATCTCCTTAAAATTTCACCGTTTACCGGGTGATAATCATAAAATCAACAACTATTTCCCAGTGTGATAAAGCCGATCAATGCTGCTGGCCCTTCACCTGCGATCCCTACCGAGCACGTTGCAAAATACGTTGGCCATTTCCACCGCCAACATGTGTTCCACTCAACTCAACGGTAATTTATTATTGTCACAACTAATCATCCCCGACATAATATAAATAGTATCCCGGTGTGTTTTACTGCATTGTGCTCATTCTTTTTCTTTTTGTCAATTAACAGTGCGCAACTAGCACAGATTGCTGCAAGCCCATGAAATGCGACGAGACGACCAGCACCTGCAAACTGACCGTAAACGAAAGGTGCAGACCTGGAGGATCAATCGTGAGTTTTTACCAATTTCGAGTCGTATTGTTACAATTAACCCGAAACGACAACAATGTGCGTTGCGCGTGCATACAAGTACATGTAAATATAAATAAGGGAACTCGTGGGTGTTTGTAGTGCTCTAGAGACGACCAGTGCTGCCTGCAATTGTATTGCGACCCCTACAAGGCTCGCTGCAAGTCTCGCCCAAACAAGCCAAAGCCACCTCCGAAATGCCGTCCAATGAACGCTACTGTAAGTCATTTTTAATATATCGCGTATAGGTATACTGACGGGACAAGCTATTTTTTTCATTTTTTTTTTTTTTCATCTTTAATTAAATGCATTTTCAAACGTTTCTCGCTGAATGGTAAAAATTGAACGATTGTCACCGTAATATTAGTGCTCGGCTGGAGAAAAGTGCTGCAAGCTCCTCAGTTGTGACGCGGGAGTGTGCAAGATGTTCGAAGAACGATTTTGTCGTCCAGCCGGATCACCTGTAAGCTTCACCAAGTAACCATGTATATATATAAAGTACGCGTTATCCACAAAGAAATGTGGTATTTAATATTTGGTTCGTCGTTTAGTGTATCGATGACGAGCAGTGCTGCGGCGAAGCGGAATGCGACGCGGCGATAGATGTCTGCCGTTTACCAGCCCCCACGTCTACCGTTACCTCGACAATTGGCACCACGACCGAAGGAAGTTCGACTTCGAGCGAAGGAGGCACCACATCCACAGGCACCGGCACAACCGAAGGAGTAAGCTCAACACCTTCGGCTGGTAGTACAAGCGAAGGAGGCACAACATCCACGGGCACCGGCACAACCGAAGGAGTAAGCTCAACACCTTCGGCTGGCACCACGACCGAAGGAAGTTCGACTTCGAGCGAAGGAGGCACCACATCCACGGGCACCGGCACAACCGAAGGAGTGAGCTCAACACCCTCGGCTGGCACTACGAGCGAAGGAAGTTCTACAAACGAACAAGGTTCCAGCACTTTGGGTTGGAGTACAAGCGAAGGAGTAAGCTCAACATCCCCGGCTGGCACTACGATCGAAGGAGGTTCTGCGATCACAGGTGCCAGTGAAAGCGAAGAAAGCTCTATTTCTGAAAGTTTGAGCACAGTTAGTGACGAAAAAGAAGAAGTCGTACCCGAAAAAGCAAGCTTCAATGAATTTTATATCTTGAACTGACTGTTGGTTTTAAAACCATTTATTTCACAGTGTTGAAACATTCATAATCTCTCGTCTTTTAATATACAATATTAAAAATAGTACATGATGCATGCCTTTTTAATGCTTTACCTATACTTTATTAATGAATAATTACCTGAAACTCGCACTCATCTACATTTATGCCCATGTATACCCATATTTTTTTTCCATAATGGAAATCAACTAATTATCCAAAAATACTTAGAAAAATTGATTTCCAACAAATAATAGTGTAAAATGTTTTAAGGGAATTAGGGTTATTATGAAATTGATGATAGATACTGTTTGCATGAAAAAAAAACAAACAAAAAACTGCTCGAATGTTGCACACACGACATGATGTTTGTGCAGGTAAAGATCGCACCAATTACACAGTCTGATTCATTCGAAAAGTACTGTCCTATTGGGCTGACTACTGTCACTTTTGTGACGCAATGACTAACGGTACGTTCACTTGCACTGGTTTCACATTATACTCGTATGACATTGGACTCCTTTTTTTTTTATGAATCATTACACTCGTGTGTGATTTGTTGTAGTGATCGTCAACATAGATAAGTTTTTTATCTGAATAACCTTATCGTGGCTGTGTGAGAAGTTGAAAACAAGTTACTTGTGTTTTGTGCGTGACACATTTGTTTATTAATTTTTATTCTTTTGACAGAGTTATTTACAATGACAATAGTTGGATTTAAGACAAGGCATACGTACAAGTTTGATTCGTCAACGTAACGAAAAAATTCCCATGTGTTGTGTATAGGTGAAAAAATTGCCGTACCAATATAAATTGGCACACAGATTTTTTACTTTTTAATTGGCATAGCTTTAAGCTTTAAATTTTAATCATAAATGCATTAATCACGAAATTCTGATAACCAAGTTTGCTAATTAAAGAAAAAAAAAAATTGATTGAACTTATGATATTTATTAACAAAACCTATCGTACGTTTTCGTTGAAACTTAACAATGTCTTCACTAAATTTTGAGTTTGTGTAAAAGCATCGAACCCCAACATGTGAAATTATAGTATCAATTTAGTCTGCGACACATTCGTAAAAATCAACTTGCGTACGAAACAATCGCGTGGGTGAAAAATGAAAATGAGCTGCCCATCTCGAGTGTAGGGAAACAAACAATAAGTTATACAACTCGAAAAGAAACGAAGGCAGCTGTACTGTTTCTATTATTTTAGTCTAGAATTTCTCCTGGCCTCAACCCACGTTAAGCAGGTCAGCTACTTTCAATTGCTCTTTTCACTGCTTATTATCTTGTGCGAAGTATGAGCGAATCCACCTATGCGTATCAGCAAAACAAAACAAAAAAAAAAAAAAGAATTGAAACTTGGCCACTGCTACGTTTATATACTACACATTTACAGGTAAGATGTAACACTATATTTATTAACTTAATATTATACACGCAGCAAATCAGCAACGGGTAAATGGTGACCGGCTAATTGGACTTTAATAAGTGATTGCTGATGGAAAGGATCGCGCGTGCAGCGGATGAAATTGAGTGAACGATGTGTAACACATAATATAAGTATATACTTGTATTAAATATATCGCGAGCTCGACCTAATTTTTCGGCAAAGCGTAACCGTGAAACGAGGCGTTGCTCGATACATTTAATACGGTATATATACACATATATGTACGTACATGCATGCACGTCAACTCGTAAGATTGTGCGGGTATGGATGTATATTTAACTCGTGTAACGGGAGCTTTTCACGTTCAATGACACGTTAGTGTCGTCGTCGTCGTCCTCACCACCGTGATATTATACATATTTTACGCTCATCCGGTACAGGGTTACTCGTCTATATACGTGCACACCGCGTGTATGAGATGTTTATATGATAACACACGAGTAACGAACACTGTACTGTGACGTTACATTGTGACAGAAATTATATATACATACATGGACAACATACGCGAATTGCAAAAAGTTTTATTAGTAGGTAACCTACATGCGTCTCATTTTCTTGGCGATAATTTTCAGTCGAGCTATGCTATACACGTACCTTTATCCCACATGTAATCGTAGTTATTTCGTCACGTTCAATACGACTATAGCCAAAGAAAATCGTCCACCTTACCATTATTACATGATAATATATGTGTAATATGATCTAGCCCTGTCCATGTCGTCTCAATCCAGCGAGTACGGGTATAATTCAACAATTCGATTTCGCTCTCGTTGCATGTTTGCCTATATTAGAAAGTCCCGTCTCGGGTAACCTGATAAAAGTTGTATGTGACACGCGTTACGGCAAAAGAGCAAGTGCTGCACATACCGGCGTAATGATAATAACAATGATCATTATATGTATAGTAGCTAAGATATAGCCTTACGCCGATTGGGTAAGAAAAGCAAATTTGATCTTGCAACTGCGTCACGCGCGAAAGCCCATGATATGCCATGTTGCATACTTCGATTCCGTGTCTGTATCCTTTTACGTAACTTGGGGCAGGACAAAAGGAAAGCGGACCACTCGATGCAAACTATGCGCAACAGCTGGCAAGTGTAATATCGGTAGCAACCTTGAATAACGATATTACCTCGTCGACGTATTCGAAGCGTGACGAGCTCTCCTTCGGCTAACTGTACAACGAATACTGTTTTTCATATGCTCAGGCTTTACCGTTTATGGTAACTGCGAAGGGTAAACATTTTATCTCGTAACGTCAAAATGTGTCGAACGATTTCATGAAATAACCGATTAATATAACATGAGGATAGAAAGTAAATATTATATGTTGCGTGAGCAGGATATTAACTGTTGTGTTATTTGATGCGAAAACCGCGTGAATGCGATTCGCCGGCAAGGAAGTAATCTATACCGTTGGTAAGAAGAAAAAAAAACTGTTTTTTTCCTTCCTGCACCTGATATGTGATGGCAAATGTGGATTTGGAGGATCGGAAAGTGAGAAAGACACCAAGTGGTCATTAGTTGTTTAATTATGTACATACTACTCTCCTTTATTTCTGCACAAAGACCTTTACAATAATTAACATGCCTATATTCACAAGTAATATAAGTTCGCTTTGTATGTTATCTTTTTGATATCTTTTTTCACAATGTATATATAAGTATACACGTATGTATAATAATAATGATAATTTATATATTCATCTATTTATAACGTAATATACTATAACTATGATCGCAGCGCATGGTACAATGTAAACTTGTTCATTTGGCGGTGCGATGAACGAGGAAGGCACTTGCGGTTTTCCTTTCTTACTTCGGTTCCCATCTGTCGCGCGGACACGCACGTAATATCGTGTCATTTACTGACGTAACGATTTCTTTCAATCAGAGGCACATGACAATGTATTGTGGTGTGGGTGCCACGTGATTTATTGCTTATAAATGATAATCATAAAGGAGAGAAAACAAAAAATTTATCGAAACGCTTAGCTTACGTATCTTTGTAACTCGCTAACTTACGCTCGCGAAGATTTTAATCGGTCAAAATGTTTTTTATCGTGAAAAAAATGAGTTGTTATTACTTGTCCCTTCCATACCGAGGATACACAGTTTTGTTAGTTCAACGAAAATTTGCCGTATGCAATCGAAATTTAGAACAAAAAATACATTGGCATTAAATAAAAAGTTTTTAGCAAAATTTATAAAATGGAGTTAAGGTATAGAAAAAATTTTACAAAATTTCGATTGCATCGGTGACAACAATAGTCGTATATTATCTAAACATATATTTTCGGCTACACAAAAAAACAACAATAGAATACACAAAATAGAGATTCGCATTCCACATCACACTTTCGCTCAATGAAAAATACAAATTAATATACTATAACAATTATCTGTTCTACGATTATATCTTTGAGTCTACTATTCGCAAAAATACTCCATAAATGGCACATCCCTGATCGCATGTATAAATGTATTTGTATCCTTTTTTTTCACACCTTTCAATCAATTAATTCTGACGAGACATGGACGGTATTCGCTTCTCAATGTACGCATTCACGCAAACATGTATACCTTAAACGACGTATTGTAAAAGCATGTAGATAAATATGAAAAAAAAAAGTTACCCTCGACAAATTGCACTTGCAACGTTTGGAAGCCGATTCGGAGGTGTCGCCAAGCTTGCAGGTCCACACTTACGCAGTATTACGCGCTATTGTGCTCGCGTGAGCGCGTAAACTAACGAGAGGCACTTTTGCGGCTCCTTTCTTTCTCTATACTAACGAGCTTCGCGGGGAGCAGAAAAGGACAAAAGTGCGTTGGGTGGCGACTACCGGGGCACAAATTGTCTCGCGTCGCGTGGGTATACATACTTATTTGTAAGCACATACCTAAGTGTACGTGTATTGTATGCAATACACAAAAAGAAATAACGATCGAGCGCTCGTGGTGCGAGAGAAAAATCGCGTTACACATAATATATTACATATATATATATATATGGCTTTGCACGGGATTTACAGATCCACGCTCGCGCTTGCTGTGCGAGATAATTTGAGCTGTCGCCCGTAACATATTTTCAATTTATGCGTTGTTACCATATTTGTTTTTTTTTTTTTTTTTTTGTCGAGTTAAGTACCGCTATGCGACAGAAGCTGTATACATACCGACGCGGGCAGAACACCCGGCAATCTCGCACGCATGTTTATTTTATTTTCACGCTTATTTTTCTCTCTCCGGTAAAATGTACAGTACCTGATAGTATACATTTTTATATGCTGTATGAATAATTACAGTCGAGTTTACTCTCTTTTTTACTTTTTTTTTGTTAATTATAATAATTAATACAAAAAATTACTCCGACTCGTACGTTACAGTGTACATATGTTTATATAATATGATAAATCGCGTACATGATGATAACTTTATCGTTGGGACGTTTTACACTTAATGATTGTTTTCATTCGTTTTTCTGGCACGTGCTAAATAAATGACGATTACCGTCGAATAACATGGAAAACAAACAAATTCTATATTCTTAGACTTTTGCCGAAACTAGGGTAAGTAAGTATGTGCTTGTGGAGTTATTCGATGGGAGAAATGTGTTATTCGTACATATCATTACCGAATCCAACGAAATAATACCGAGTGAGTCTGATGATGTGGATCAGTCGTTGTGGTCTACAGCAGTTACGTATAGGGAAACAGATGTATGTGGGTGCTCTAGCGATTACCTACTCTGTTTAAACAAGTGCAACTGTGTTCCACTAACGTATGGAGTGTGCCTTTGGGAAATTCGATTTTCGATTGGGTAAAAGAAGTATGAGAGCGAATAAAAAATAAACTGTTTGACTCGATTCACCGGGAAATGATCGATCGAGCCAACAGAAGGAAAGAGAGAGAGAATATGAAAGGTATGCGTAACAATTTCAGCAGCATTGAGCGCAACGAGTCCCGAGATATAGGTATACATAATGTCTGTAACGCTCTAACAGAGACGCATTGCGTCACGCAATATCCTTGCTAGCCGTACGATATCGGCATCTCTGTTTCCTTCCCTCCCCCCCCCCTCATGATACGTGCTGCAACAACTTCTGGTCTCGCGCGGCTATACAGCAAATTTTGCACTATCGAGATCGCCGAGGCGCATCCAAGCAGCTGTAACACAGCCGCGGTACGTTTGAAAGGACACGAGCACGCGCGAAACCTTTCCCTCTTTCACAATGCATATGTATATACGGAGCCCGGCGGGTATTATAGTTGGGAGATGGATGCAGCAGCGCTGAAGATCGAAATTGGAAAGTCGGGTGTATATACATCATGTGTTGTAGGTATATGCGCGGTGAGGGAGTCTATGTATTTATGTATTGTAGCGGAGCCGATCGGTAAAATTAACGAATATTACATTGGGATGCTACGGGTAAAGGAGCTACGGTAGGACTAACACTTTGTACATAATATGTACTTGTACGCTATCGCAATTGAAACAATAAAATCGGATAAGCGAGTGTATAGGATTTCTTTTTGTGCAGCATCCCTGCAAGCGTTTCCGGGTCCTCGTGCAGGGAAAGGCAATGCAATTTTACAAAAGTTACGTACCAGCCGGCTTGTCTGCTTGTTTTACCCCGTGCTACGGCAGGCTAATTTTACCGATTCTACGAGCAAAGTGAATTCGATCTGTAGCACATTTTTTTTTTTTTTTTGTATCCTTGCTTGGTTTTAACGTATCATGTGTGTATAGGTACGGTTTCTGTGGGGCTGTAAATTTCAGAACAGGTATAATACAACACATGCAGTAAAGTACAGCTGTAGCACTCTCTTTTACACTCATGGGTGTATAAATGTATACAGGTTACTTATATAAAGGAATGGCCCGGCGAATGGGGCGCACTTTCTATCCTTCCTCTCTGTCAACGTGACCTTTCGCGCATCATCTCCTGTACATCGGCTACATCGGCTGCATCAGCTCTTGGTACATAGGGGCTTTTTCGTAATTTTGGATCATCAAAACTTTCAAATCATCCGCGCGCTTTGGATTTATTGTAAAAATAAACAATCGCCTTTAATGGATCCAAGTTAAACAAAATATAAAAATGATTTCACCGCAGGCCAGGAACCGAAATATCCTGCGTGGACGAATCACATCATTTTACAGATATATTATACAAATAAATCTACAAAATATAAATTACAACGCGGATCCGTTATATGTAAATACACTGTTTCGAGCTGCCAATTTTCATTAGGCTATTCATGATTCGCATACTTTTATCAACTCAATTTACTCCGCGGCACTCGAGTCTTTTTGCGTAACGTACATTGCACGAACCGTGTGATATTTTCAAAAATTTAATAATTACCCTCCTATTGTTTAGCCTCCACTTTGGAATGAATAATCGAATTCTCCGATAAATTTTTAGTTTCGCAACAACCAACCGGTACCTCTCATGTACCTATGTGGGCCCCCGAAGGAGGTGGGTATGAAATTCCATCAAAAAAAAAAAAAAAAGAAATGAAAAATTCGATCGAGCTAGTATATAGCCGTGAACGTTATTTATATCGAATGGAAAGCAGGGCAGCAGTGACGCGTATATGATCTCGTGACGTGACCAATGGATCTCGAGTTTGGCTGTTGTGTTTATGTATAGGTACCTACAACCCGTAAAATCTAGCCGCAGCGTTATTGGCTCTCTATCGGTTTCCCGGTCGAAAAATTCCGCGATCGGCCGCGCGCTGATCGAAAAAGGGGGTCGGTGGGGGGGAAAAAAATAAAAAAAAAGCAATGCCAGTCGTGACTCGCGCGCTTACCAGCAGCTGTACACGGGGGATCTATCTATAAAAAGGTCCGCCGTTAAAAAATCACCGTTAGCCTAACGTTATTCCGCAAAAGAAGTGGCCGTGTGCGCGATCGATTGAATTGTATACCTGTATTTGTATTTGTATGAGATGCGATTTTACTCGGTCCCGTGATAGAATGGCTGTGCTGGTCGGAGGTGAGAGGCAATAACGAACGGAGCGTCCATTAGAGCCGATGGCGCCTCTGGCTTTTTCGAGATCTGTGTATACCTACTATCTCTCTCTCTCTCTCTCTTTCTCGTCTTTGGATCGAATCGAATGTGAGAGGGGCGAGGACGATCCCATCCGCGGATGGACGTGTTGCCGCTTCAAAAAAAGAAGCAGAGAAAAATTTTATGAGAAACATCTGAAATTTCCATTGACAAATAACGTGTCAAGGATGTAATAGAGACAAAAAAAAAAAAAAAAAAAAAAAAACCCATTTTATACGCGGCGGGTTGTTACGACAGGGGCTCCAAACAAGTTGAATTTATTCAAATTTTCTCGTATTGCTCGCGTACCTATACTTATTTCGAAAGATGGCATGTATATGAGTTATTTTTAAATCGACTTCTACGTGGGCCCTGCGCGGTTTAATCGGACGAGTATACATAATATACGTAATTGAAAGATAAAAATCTTACGCTTCGCTGATGTGTACAAAGCAGCAGCACGCACGCGTCCCTATGTATATAATAAATCATCATATGTTACGCACTATTCGGCAATTACATAAAAAACGCAAGGTCGGGGTATGTCGACGCAGATATATACCTATGAATGTACCTACGATTTACGGTTAATGGTATCGATGGTATGAAAAATAATTGCCACAATCATGATGGTATAGTTGTTTTTCCGTAAAAATGACGCGAACAAAAAAGATGAATCTAAGAAAGAGAGCCTTAGCGGGCCTTGGGCCTGGGTAAGGGCTGCGGGTGGTAATTGCCGTTCCGCTGGCCGAGACCGTCGTCGAGGCTCAGACCCGCCACCAGATGGGCCATCTCCCTGTCCTTCTTCTCCTCCTTGGGCATGACCCCGCCGTTCTGGTGGTGCTGTTGTTGCGGCTGCTGCCCGGCAAAGCCCAGCGAAGCGAGACTGCCGTGGCTCCGGCTCCTGTGCTCCGCCCTGATGCTGTACGAGAAGGCCCGCTCGTTCAAGTGACCCTTGCGCCGGTAGATGCCCGTGCCAAAGTGCGACTCGTTGTTGTTGTCCGGGCTCTCGGGGGAGGCCCGCTCCGTGTGCTGGGCCACAGGCCCATTAGTCGACGAGAGATCAGCGTGCGAGGCCGCCATGCGCCGCGACTGGTGCAGCCCGAGGCTCGAGCCGTACTCGAGTTGCTGCTGGTCCACCAGGTGGAGGTTGTGCCGGCGGCCGTGGCCCCGGTTGCCCGTCGTCCCGTAGCCGTAGATCACGGTTGGAGGTACGGGGGGCACGACGGGCAGGGGCGCGTACAGGGGCACGATGGGCGCGGCAGCTCGGATGGCACGGTGGGGCGGTGGGGGTGGGTGCAAGGGATGATGGTGGAGCTTGCGGGGCAACGTGGCCGCCGGGACGAGGAGAATGGGCGCCGGTCGGGCCAGAGTTCCCGCCACCGAGCGACTCTGGGGGTGGTGGGGATGGTAACCGGGTCCACCCTGACGAGCCGGGTGCCCGAGCGTGTGGTGGTGGTGGTGGTGCGGGTGGGGATGGGGATGGCCGTTCGCGTAGACCGGCTGCATCTGCAGTTGTTGATCTTCTTGGCGCTGCTTCGAGCGCTTCTGCAGCTTACTCTTGGGGGGCTTCTTGCCACCGTTGCCGCGCGGCTCCTCGGTACCCATGAGGGGCTGACTGGGCGGGGGTGGCGGCGGGGGTGGGGGCGCTATCATTTGACGCAACCGGGAGCCCCGTGTACTGCGCATGGTCCCCTGCTCCTGGTACAGCCCGTCCAGCTCGTCCCGGCCACGGGCCCACACCTTGTGGTTCTCGTCGCCGTTGTACACGAGGCTGGTGGTGTCGTCGTCGTTGCCACCATCGACGAGCTTCAGGCCGCCGTTTTGCTGCTGCTGATTGTTGTGATTGTTGTGCGCCTCGGCCAGGGTCGTGCTCGAACCCCCGAGCGTGTGGTAAAGGCTGCCCGTCGACTGGTGGTAGTGGTGTTGGTCGTTGTTGTGATTGTTGTGGTTGACCGTGGTCGGGCTGCTGCTGTTGCTGCTGTCGTTGTTGTTGTTGTTGTTGTTGTTGTTGTTGTTGTTGGTACCGGCGTTGGGAGGGGGTTCGAGGCCCTTGGCGAAGCGACTGTCGGCGTAAGCGTGAAAGCAGCAGCGCACGAGGGCATTGGCCGCCATGTCGCGCTTGCAAATGAAGGCGTGGCACTCGAGGACCTTGATGCCGGTGGTGCGCCTAAGGACGGCGGCGAACAGGGGCGGGTGATTGGCGCTGGGGGTGCGGGCGAAGGGCGAGTCGAGGGGAAAGAAGCGGGTCGTGGCCGCCGCGTCGGGTCCGGCACCGGCCTTGACGTGGCGCACCGCCGCGCAATAGTGGAGCGACTCGATGGGAAAGAAGCGAGTGACCTTTTTCCGGTGCTCGTCGACGTTCTCGAGTAGAAGCCCGTTGCTCCAGACGCTCAGCCACGAGTCGATGCCCCGTGCCCCGAGGGCCCCCTGTTCCGGGTAGAGCTCCCTCAGGGGCTCCTGGACCCCCAAGAGGCCCTCCTTGCTCGCGTGGGGCACCGCGCTGCCGAGGTAGAGCACCCGGCAGCGGCAGTACGGTGTCGAGCTCTCCTGGCTCGAGCCCCGCATCTTGAAAACTCCTCGTTGAGATGACGATGCTCGCCGGCTGCTTCGACGGAACGGTCGTTCACACTGTCTCCTCCTCCTCCTCCTCCTGTATTCTCGGTGTCCCTATATAGCTATGCCCCCCTCCTCCCGTTAACCACGATCGGCCCCTACGCGCGGATACCTCTCGGCGACCTGGCTCCTTTCACCTTCCGCTCCGTCCTCGCACTAACCACCACCACCACCACCACCGCCACCGTCACCTGCACTTGCACTCCTCTCACAAACATGCGCGCACGTACACTTGGCTAAATCGTCGCCGAGGACAGCTGGATCCTCTCATATCCAGCTCATACGTCACCAGGACCTATGGCGAGCTGAGCTAACTCGACCCTTTGAGCCAGCAGCATCACCCGAGACGAGACTCGAGTTTTATTTATACATTTCCATCGTTTGTTCACGTACTTAGCGCTCCAAAAGAAAAAAACCACTCTGTCACTTTATGTCAAAGGTGGTCCAGCGACTTTTACAGAGAACAGATGCACACACACGCGCGCGCGCGCGCGAGAGCACTTTCGCGATATGTGGCGAAATAAATCGGTATAAGTGTGGCCGGTTGCTGTAGCACCGCTGCGGCAACTGCGACTGGCCTCCCGTACGGGCTTCGAGGCGCTGCCGGAGAACCGTGTGTTGCGTTCACCGGCTCCTTCTCTCTCTCTCTTTTATTCTACACTTGTAGGTATCTCTCTCCTCCTGCGCTTCGCCCACAATATAACGTTAGTATACGGCGAGGGCCTCCTCCTCCTCCTTTCTTCTGGCCTCGCTCGGTTCCTTCGCTCCTAGGTATATTATCTGCGTCCCTTCCCCTCGCCGTGTATTCCTTTTCCCAGGCAGGCCACGGTCCCACCGAGCGACGACGAGGACGACGGCGACGGTTGGCAACGATAGCACGAGGTATTCGCCGCGGGGAAATTATTACAGTTCAAACTCGGCATATGCGTGCGCGAGCGTATTGCACACATACGTATACACGTATAGTTGGTTGGCGGATCGCGAGGAATTCAGCGGAGATGAAGGTGCGCCGCATATAGGTAATACGTACGTAGGTGGAGGGCCAAAAGTTCGGCAACGCGTCCCTCGCTTGTAGATCGGGTTGTTGGTGGCGTTTGAGCTCCACCTGCCCCACGAAATAATCGTACGACTTTGTGCACTGTGTAACTTTGACACGCGCGAAGGGCCCAAAGTTCTGACTTTTGGCCCTATGGACGGTATATCGTTACCGATCTACACTTATGTTTTTTATAGATCGTATGCCCCCAAAACGACACGACACGGAGATGGTCCGCTCCGGACTGAGTCATGCACACAGCACACTCTCTTGTGCCCAGTGTATAGGTACGACTTTGCACAGGGGCCCGCCGATCCAGGGAGAAATTACGACGCGACGCCGCGAGCGTATAGGTATATATTGCTGATGAGGCTGTTTGTGTGTTAACCTTATACCTCGGCTGCTCTCGACTCTCCTGCGCAGGAGAGGTGGATAACACAGCAGTAAGTAACGTGGACTGTGGAGTCGGCCCGACTCTCCTTCTCGCTGTCTTTCTCCCGTTCCTCCTCCTCTGCTCGGCTCTGTATAGGTGTGCATGTATGTGCCTCTTACCTCTGCTTCCACCGTCTATAGAGGAGCTCCTCTCTCTTTTCCTCCTCCGGGTGAAACGAGCGCGTATGTATAATATACCCGTAGAGGCACTGTTGCGCGCAGGTATGTAGCGAGAGCCTTTACTTGTACTCCGTGGGGCACCCGAGACTCGGGGATAAGATACATGTATACCTGTGTACTTTGGTAGTACTCCAGCCTACGCTCGTTTCTTGCATCCGGTGACGCGCGACACCTATTACCTGAACTCTACCGGGGTATGCCGATCGTACATACCGATATGCTCCGAACGGTCCATTTGGGAGTAACTATATTATGAGTGTACGACCGAGTATTTCCCAATTTCTCCTGACCTCGAACCCGCGAGCCGAGTCGGGAGAGCGCAAGGGCACCGAGGATCCCGTGAACCTTCGTACTCGAGGCTGCGAATCGGCTCGTAACTACGGCTATAATACATATAATATATGTGCTCTGTTGGAATTATTCAAATGCCACTCGCTGATATACCTGGCGCGTAATATCAGAGAAAGTCATGCTCGCGGTGCAAATTGTCGCTATCCGGTTTTAACATGATTATTGTTTAAACAACGATTTCCGCGTTTAGAAAGCCATTTCCACGTTTATACAATGTAAGAATATACATATATATATGCTCGCTACAACAATAATTGTCAAACGGAAGTGGCAAGTATTTCAACTTGTAGACATTATTGTTATACGTTTACAGTGTCTATACGTATATAATATATTATACACCGGAGCGATCTCTCTTCCTGAGGTTTGGCTTTTTTTACAACATTTTTTGCTTCCAAGGGAAAATAAGTAAGCATGCGGGTTCGCACGCGGACAATAAAAGGACAAAAAAAAGCTTACCGATCCTCGAGTAGTATGTAGGCATACACATGGGAAAGACAACGCTGGGGCACGGAAAAATTCGAGGTCTCGAGGTCAGGGCGTCTCGTGCGGTGCGCACCTGTGTTTCATTATCGAGGGGGGGCAGGACCCGAGACTCGTCCGGCTCTTTCTTTCTTTCCGTACGGGTGTAGGTAGTATATCCTGCTCTTTTCTCTATCTCTTTTTTTTTCCCCCCCACCATTCTTTTGGCTTTAAACCTGATTCCTTGACCCCCTCGCTGCCGCATGGAGACATCGGCCTGCGTGCTCTTCCTCAAATTTTTTTTTTTTTTTTTTTTTTTCCCTGTAATTTTACATTTCTTCCACTTGACACTTGTCACGAAGCATCGAATCTTTGATTTCTGTTGCTCGGGACGAGATATATTAAAAGTGGTTTCCGTGTGGCATAAAACTGCACTAAAAAGGGCATTGTACGTCCAACTGGTCCAATGGTCAAAGGACTCTCGCTTCCTCGTCATCAATATAAAAGGTACCACGGGCAATAAATACTACATATTTATTAGGTATAAGCAATGGGTAGGTGTTGGTAGTTGGTTGTGTGTAGGCAAATGCGCGTAACTGCGAGCGATCGCGTGTGACGTAAGAGAGCAAGCACCCACAGCTTTCTAAAATGAACTGGGAAAAATCAATCGTTTAGCCGTCGCAGCTGTAACTATATAACATCATGGAAAACATGTGTGCAATACGTATGGGTGGACGCATAATATATACCTGCAGGCAAGCAACGAGCGGTGGAATAAATTTATTGAATTAATGGTAAACCCTACGAGCTCTCGAAGGGCATATCCCAGCCGTGGGCACATTTGGTGGATCGTTTCATGAAATGCGGCAAGTAGCGGAGCAGGTATACCTATATACTCGCTGTCACGTAACGGAAGCAGCTTGTAGAGATGTTTCGATTCACAAAGAGCCACGCGTGCGAAAATTCTCCATCATCGGACGAGTCGCGCGACCAAAAAAGTCCCTGACCGCGCGACCACGAGCCTTCTCCGTTCAATGCCGTGCGTGTTTTAATACATATTGTCACGCGCCACGGCGCATCGTGGAAAATAAAGAGTACACCTAAGTAAATATATATATATACATGCGCCGAGGCAACGAGTCGATCCAGGACGCGTTTGTAATAAATATTGTCTCTCGCCGTGGCGTTACAATGAGTAAGAACCGCGCTCAATGGCTACTTTATTATTATTGACAAAATTACGGACTCTGTGTAACATGATCAAAGATGATGGACACATCCTGATGAAGAAGTTATTTCAGGGCCAGAGCTTCGACGACAATCGTCAAACTACGCGGAGAAGCGGACTCTTTCTCTCCGTGGGTGTCACAGCCGGAAAATGTAGCTTAGAAAGCTGCCGGGAAGAAAAAAAACAAAAAAAAAAAAACAAGCTGTTCTCTCGCCATCAAGTGCAACCTCTTTCGCGATAAATACAATACATCCACAGCTTCATCGGCCACGTTGTAGCGATCATGACTTTGCTAACCGGCGTTGCGCGTGTGACGCAGCGTAGGCGATAAAGGACGCGAGGAATATGAGGGTATTGTTGCGGTGTAACGGGGACCCTCGTGGGAATACGGAGGAGACCTTGTATACGTCTTTCTGGCTCTAAGCTCTAATTGCTTAGACATTACTCGGTAGGCGTTGATAATCATGCGTATGAACGGTTGTTCGATCAGGTGCGCGTTGACGAGCGCCGACTTGGTAGGAATTTTCAATTTTCGCTATAGATGATAGATCGGGGTGCATAGCACTGATGAAAGAAAAAAAAAAAAAATTCAAACAAGATATAATTTGCTCACGGTCGGAGCGAATATAGGTAGTTTCCTGCTGCAGCTGTAATCAGAGGCGCGCCAAACTTGCCCGGTATGCTGGCCGTTTGCCTATATTACCCACACCACTGTGGTTATATGCACATACACGTATATATATTATAATATTGTACGCTGTCGTCGAACCCGGGTGTACCGTTACACGCAACGAGTCAAGGTATCGCACCACTGCCATACGCGTGTAAGCATACATATATATATATATATATATATATATATATACTTTACAATTAGAGAACCAAGCTCTCGGATACCTACGCATACGCATATATAATGTTATTTGATTTATCTGTGCCAAAGTGCATCCAACATCAAAATTTTCATAAATTTGCGCGCACAACTCTTTTTACCATTTCACTATACTATTGTCAACAATCGGTGGGTGTATAATCTATCTATTTTCAACAGTGACATACAGACTTAAAGAGTTGAACAATTTTAAAGCGGAAAAAATCGATTTTTAAGTAGAGCATCTGCTCCGTGGGTGTTAAAAACCAATGGATTATTTCCTCTAAGCTATATGAGAGAAACAATGATTTTTTTTAATAGTTAGTAATAATCGCTGAACATCGATCTTCTCGGGTAATAAATTTTCCGAATCTTCTAATCTTTGAAATCGT